CTACGCAAGCGCAGCACATTTTTCCACAAGCATCAGCCATTTTTCCTTGTCTAGAGCCAGTTCAAAACAGTCAGAAATATCAATATTGGCGTGCTTTAGATCATTTTTAATATTGTCAATCCATCTGAGATGGGGTCGGCCACGCGGGCGCTTGATGTCCCGGGTATTTATTGCCATCTCCAGTGCTTGATAGGACGCTGAGTCCTATCAAGTGCTGTGATGAAATCACAGCACAAGACGGCCTTCTGCTCCGTGGCGAGCGCATCGTCATTCCACTTTCCATGCGCAATGCCGTGAAAACCAAAGCACACGCCGGTCACATAGGAGTAAACTCATGCATACGGCGAGCCCGTGACCTTGTTTATTGGCCTGGAATGTCGAGTGAGATTCGTCAGTTCGTCGTAAACTGCGACACCTGTGCTCGTCATACCAGCAAGCAGCAGCCCGAGACACTCTTCCTACACCCAGTGCCAGATCGCCCGTGGCAGAAAGTAGGCATCGACATCTTTACCATCAAGTCAAGAAACTACTTAGTTACAGTTGACTACCTGAGCAACTTCTACAAGGTTGATTTCCTTCCTGACACTCTGGCCAGCACTTGCATCAGCAAGATCAAGTATCACTTCGCCAGGCATGGGATCCCTGATGTAGTCGTCTCCGACAATGGTCCCCAGTTCTCATGCCGGGAATTTAGCGCCTTCGCCGCGAAGTGGGAATTCTCGCATGAGCACAGCAGCCCAGGCAACAGCAGATCTAATGGTGCTACTGAGGCCGCCGTCAAGGATGCGAAGAAGTTCATGAAGAAGTGCAACGAAGAGAAGTCCGATCCATACCTCGGGTTACTGAATGTGCGCAACACACCCACTGAAGGTCTCAGCACCAGTCCCGTGCAACGACTATTTGGTGGCCGAACCAGAACTGTGCGGCCAACCCTGAATGATCGCCTCAAACCCGCTGCAGATATGTCAGCCGACATTCAGAAGAAGGAGACCAGAAGACAAAGGGCAGCTGAGCACCTCGACCACCGAAGGAAAGACCTCCGCCACTCACGTCTGGCGCAAAGGTTTTCATTCAACCGATTGACGGCAAGTCGAGAGAATGGCAGCCTGCAGTAATCGCCGGCAAGACGTCTAGCCGCAGTTATGAAGTCTCCTGCAACGGAAGAGTCCTGCAGCGGAATCGACAGTTTATCCGACCCGCACCGCCGACTGCAGCTGACGGACCAGACCGGGCATCATCCACACCGCCGAGCCCGAAGCTACTGTAAAACGACAAACTTTCGCGGCGGCTAAATTTAGCGTTTTGGCAAACTGGACCAGTTAGCGGCGATTAATTTTAGCGATTTTACCTTCCACTGAAAATCTTCAAGAATGTTATTTTACGAAGTCTTGGAGTGCTGGGACGCAAAGCGCTCGAAGAATGAGAGAAGAAATCAAAGAATGAAAGAATGAATCAAGGAATCAAAGATAATCATAAGGTGAGTACTAGTACTGCAAGAAAGGATGGCGTTTTCGAAGAGGGATCATCGGAAGGCTTTCTCTTCGAACTGCTGAGCCACTGCGATACTAATGGCGATAAACTTCAGAAGATTTCTTCGCGCAGTACAACACTAAAATCTACGCAACAGCAAGCTGGCCAAACACTCTCCACAACACTGAGACATTCTCCAGTCGATCGTTTTATTCTCTTCTACAATTCTGTTCAAGTCGCCGTACTCGAACGACAACTTGGAAGACTAGTGTTGGTACGTAACTTTCAACAGCTGCGCGCTTTGGACTTTAGCCGTGCAAGCATCGATCAGCACTAGTCCAGAGTCTGTGCAGTGCATGTACAGACAGTGCACGATCGATCATCGACGCATCGCGTAGTACATGATTGTACAAATTTCTTATTCGCGTGTCAAACTTTCGCGATTCGCCTCTGCTCGCGAAAGTCGCGAAAGTAAATCGCTCGCGAAAGTTTGTCGTTTTACAGTACCTGGACCGTCAACGCCTGTTCCCAAGACCACGCCATCCAAGATCGGTGCAATGCACACCATCCAAGATCCCGGTGTTGGTGCAACGGTCGCCAGAGTCACAAGGCGCCCGCACTGACATCCAGACAATGCGATCTGGAAGAGTGGTCCGGATCCCTAAGCGTCTCATCATGGACTCCTGATTGATCAGTAGTGCCTGTTTAAGAGTCGTTTCATTATGTATGTGCGTGCTGCATTACATACGCTCAAGCCAGCTCATCATGTTGAGCTATTTCATTTGACTCTTATAATGCCGCCATACACATGTATTTGATTTGCTCGGACACTCTCTTATTTCAAAGAAAGGGAGATGTCACGTGTACTGCGTTCACGTACACATGTGTTATATGTGTGCCCCACGCATGCGCAGGTGACGTCATGCGTGGATTGGGTTTTGGCTCTGTGCTGGCATTTCAGGCTTTCGCTAGTCAGTCTGTTCTCTACGCTTCTGGCAACTGTTTTTGCCAATGCTCTGTCCTGAGCCTGTTCTTAATACTTCCTGCTATTGTGCCATTCACACGGCTGTAGCATTGTGGCTTTGTTGGTTATAGACTGATAAGACTGATCACGTAACACTTGGGCCGCCCAGTTACAATTGGCGCTTATCTTCACACTTGTCTCAGGAAGGAAATACATATATTTGAAGCATGCCACGATCACAAAGCACTATGCACATGATTAGTTACATGTCAGTAAGCAACTCAGCCGAAAATTCAAGCAAGTTATACGTCCTCCTCGCCACTATCATCCCTGGAGGAAGAGCTCAAAACGTTAGATCCGGACAGCTGCTGCACGATAGCTTGTTCCACTTCTCCTCGTCTCGAATCACGCTCACAGCCTGTGCGTGACTGTCACCTCGCCGCTCTGAAGCTGAATGAGACTGCCCGCGTGTTGGCTGTAAGTGGTATCCCCGTTCGTCGCAATAATGCGGCTTCTTTGTTTGAGACGAAAAGGCAACGCCATAACAGTGTCCTTTTTTCAAATCGTCTCTTGCGCTTGTCGTACTTCCTGATCAGCACCCATGCGAGCCGCTGGTGCTTGTACATGCAGCCCAGTGATAGCTTCCGCTTGATGCAGCACCTGTACTGCACCTAAGTCCTAACGCCTTGTACCATGCTTTTCGGCTAGTTTCCTGAAAGTCTTTTGCACGAGAGTTTCACTCAGGACTTGGTGTTTATTTTGATTAGCTCCTTTGCCCGGTCCTCTGTGAGCTTGGCAGTGTGTCCGCTGGATTGGTCTCACTCTCTGGAGATGTCGACATGAGGTGCAATTTCTTCGTCGGCGATTTGCTGGTGATGAATCTTCACTAGGCGCTGTACTGTGCCAGCACTGAAATTCAAGCTCGCGAAGCGCTTTTTCAGTTTCTCTATGCCTCCCCGCAATAAACAATCCTTGCCACTAGACAGCTCGAAGTAGACAGAAACTGCATTCTCCATCGCTCTGAAATGCGAACATCCCGACCTATTTTACGAACTCGAGCGGAGACTGCGTCGTTTCCTTCGCTGACGGAAGTGTTCGTCGGTGGCAGGTCTGTCACAAAGACTCAAACGAACCGATCGCAACTTCTGTGGAGGTTTGTGCTGCCATGTCGTCGGATGCAATGATCAATGGTTATGTTTGGATGGTGAATCGATGGTTCTATGCCGTATGACACAGGCAGAACACTGAAAAATCAAGTGGGAAGATAAGCGCCAATTTTAACTTGGCGGACTAAGTAGTATCATTCAGATCGTGTCCACTATCTGTTGCTATAACTTATAAGTGAAAATCTGTGGGTGCACATCCAGTACATTTCGCAGATTAGCGTGCTTCTCTTGTGACGGGCGTATACATGGTACACGATGTGTATGAGTGTACACGTGTGTGTGTTGTAGGGGGAGGGGTGTATGTGCATGTTTGTGTGTACATGTATATATTAGGGCTAAAACGATTATATCGGTTATCCATCTAATTGATCTTAAAGCGGGATTCACAGAAGCATTTTTAGGATGCGATGTACGATGCTACGGCCGCGAAACCGGGAAATCCCCATATCGCAGCCATCTCGCAGCCCGCGCAACTGCGGCAACTGGGCCATCGCAGAAGTTGAGCTCGGCTCAACTTTTGCGATGCGACAAGCGATTTGGCGTACGATTTTGACCTTTTCTATAGCAAAGTTGTACAAAGGTTCAAGAGTTGAGGAAGGCAAACTACCTCCCCTGGAGGACCTGCTCCGGCCTCTTGGGGTGGAGGATCGTCCACGTCCAGGCATGATCAGACAGATTACACTAAAGAAACGAAGAGAAAAGCACTCGGCCATGCAGCGAAAATTTGCAACTGTACAGCAGCAGTGCAATAACAAAAAGAACACTGTCTTCAGACCAGCATGCACCTTCATGTGCATGCTGCAACTCCGCACTGTGCAGCCAGTGCGTACCGCACTCCCAGCACAGTCCGTGAACTCTGGACTGTGCACTCGCGTTTCGAAAAGAACAGCATTTTCTTGTTTACTTCGTTGCTCTCATCCAACAAGAAGTAAGGCATAAAACTGCCGCAAACTACAAAGAAGAACTTAAGGCCTTAGGATTTCTTGCGTGGGTGCAAGCTAGAAACGGCGAGTAAGTGGAACTGGTCAGAATCAGCTTCAAAGGACATTACGTTGACTATGTCGTATGTTGCCCAGTTGCAGTGACTGTTGCACATTCTATGATGCAAGAACACAGCGAGCGCGCTGCGATGAGCAGATTGAGCCTTTGTGCTGAAAGTTGTACATGAAGTTCAGCATTTCGAATATTCGAATTCTGACTCACATGTTCGAGTTTTCGGTGCAGCGAAAAAAATCGAAGGTATTCGATCAATATTCGTTGCAACACTGGTTAAGAGTACTGTGTGTAGATGAGAACAACTCACTTCATAGTGAGTTGTGCATTACATGTACACTCAATATAGATATTATCTGATGGATACTGCATAGGAATGTCTGGTCATGTGTGTTACCTGCGCACAGGACGGTGCCCTTCCTGTTCGTCACGCTGCATCGAAAGGACATGTGGAAGTCGTCAAGTATCTACTAGAACTCCAACCCGATACGCTCTCTGTGAAGGACAAGGTAAGACAACATACCATGCAACTTGTGTGGCGCTAAAGATTCGAAGATCAATTGAATAAGAAGCTAAGATAACTCGAATCATGCAAAACTGAACGTCTCAGAAAAACTGTACTGTACTTCAACTATGACAATTTGGATGCACAATGAACAGCAGTTGGGGTTGGTGCATATATCGCCGGTATACGCCGGGAGCCACCGGCGGTGAGCCTCTGGCAACCTCTCCCAGTGAATTGCAATGATGTGAATCAGTGCAATCGTAACAAAATCATACTGTAACTAATCGCAAGGGTCCAGCGGCGAAGTTGGGCAGGCTCAATTCTTGCAATCCCAATCTGCTCCGGCACTAGGCTCCGGCGGATTATGCTCGCGAAATCATGGAATTATGCTTTCATGGATTCTCGCATTATGCTCGCAAAATCCTCATATAATGCTATGGCACGCAGGACTACGCATTCACTTTGTTGTACTTATGGAGCCTCAAAGTTTGGAAAATTGTGCGTTTTTCGTACATGTACTTGCAGGTGGCCATAATTCCCACAAAATACATGAGTATCCCCATACCAAGGTGTCCATGCATGCTAGAGATCAACAAAGAAAGAGAAAACAGTGCATCTTCTATTCACTACAACTTCTTTTGTAAAAAGATTTTTCATTGCTAAATTTTGTTTGAGTTACCTTTCAAAATTATCATGTTCAACTGACTGTCTTCATAATGGTCATACTCGTCCAACCGATGTCAACCTCACCCTGCGAATAATCAGCTCATCTCTCTCGTAGCTCCACCTCTCCTTCCATCATCATCGAACATCAACCGTATACCTCACTTGATATTTTTTAATTATTAGAGAAATATCCATAGCCTGCACAGCCACGGCTGCTAAAATCCCGAGGTCACGACTTCGTAACATGAATAATGTACATGTACGCAGAGTCCGTTTGCGGACTACCCAGCACTATCTCGTCCACCTCGGGATACCTCATAAAACCCTGCTTTTCACTGAAAACTATATCTGCATGTCCTCCAAACCCTTTACCAAACAGAACACTGGCGCTGATCAGGTGCATTGTATACAATTCTGTAGCCTACATTGTACATACTAGAACTGTGGTACAATCATGTGGTTATGCTCCTACCTCCGAAAGGATGCCAGATTATGCTCAAAATTTTCAACCACCCAATTATGCCAATAATTATGCCGGCATAATCCGCCGGTGCCTATCCGGCACCGATCCCGTACAATTTTGACCAAAAGTGGTTTGTGAACCGTTTGCGCCGATGATCGCCGGTGCCAGGACCCAGACTTTGTCAAATTTTCAAACCAAGATTAGTCCTAAATTTTCCTAAATGGAAGCTAAGGTTGAGATACGTTCGCCATTCTTGTAGTCGCATCAATGTGGCAAATAAAGTCAGCATACCAACCCGTCCTTCCCGGATGATCGGCTAGACTGTGGTGCAGCTTATGAGACAAAATACAATTGAAAGAAATAGAAATATGAAGGATGCATTCGCAAGCTCTTGTGACTTCATCAATGTTTGAATGCAGAACTTCGACACCACCGCTTACTAGACTGCAATGAATAGTATAGAAGAAGTTTCATGATCTGATTCTGCACTACTTTGTAATGAATTTGGTACTACAGCAGTACTCGAACCGTATACAGGACGAACCGCGAGCTGGCTCACCGCCAGTGCTTCCCGGCGCCGATTTGGCTTATGTGAACCAACCTTAACAAGCAGCAGTTTCACACGACAATCGTTTTCGCAGCATAAAAAAGGACGGCTCATCAGGTATGCAAAGATGGACTCAGATAGAGAGCCAAGGATAAATTTATAGCACTGAAAGAAAAGGACCAAAGAGCTACAAGATACCCTATAATGTCCACTAACACTACTTGGAGCAGACACTTTCTTTACCAATCACTCTGCCACCAAAGTCACAACATCTTCGTTCGTTTTTTGGAGCATTTTATGTCGCCATGACGCCGAGACCTTAGGTCAGCTGAGGAAAAAAAGCCTCACCATCACTATGTATCTAGTATTGACTGAGTACGAGGTCTTTTATTTCCTATACTGACCAAGTACGAAGTCAATATTAGATTTATCACGACTGACCAAAGCATGATTTCAATCGCTAAAAAGGAGTCGAGTATAAGCGGTCAATATAGCCTTAACTGATGAGTGAAATATGCAGGAATATTTGACTGCTTAGGTATGGCAAAAATCTATGTGAGTCTAAGGGAGTGATAAGCTCCCATATTTATTTTATTTTATTTATTTTTTACTATTGAACACTCACTGCATGATGAACTAAAATGAGGAGAAGAACTCGACACAATGGTACATATCCAGCAGGACGGAGTGGGTGGGACCTGTGAAGCTCAGCCAACCCAGGGTCTCGGCATCACAGCTGCACATGTGCACCAAAGGAAACAAAATGGGGAGTGGAAGGGCGGGGAGGGGAGCAGGAGAGCAAGAACTATAAGGGTAGGAAATAGAGGAGTGAGGGGAGGAAACCAGGAAACTTGTTATTCCAAGATATGAGTGCAAACAAGTACGCAAACAAGTACAAATATAGCAGTATCAAGATCATGATGCTGAGGCGAAGGTAGATGCTGATTGCCGTGCAGATTTAACGATAGATTAGAGTGAGAATGGAGGAGAGTCAGAAAGAGATAAAGACGGATGGATTTGGAGTTGGATGAGAAGGGAGTGCTCCGAGAACATGAACAGGGTCGTACTGGCAGTAGCCTAGGGGGCGATGTCCGTTGCCAATGACCAACCCGACCGTTTCAGGTAGCGGTAGGTCAGAACCTTGAACTGCTGCATCCCTTTGGCAGACGGTGCAACGCGAAGGAGAGTGGCTGGCAGTTCATTCCAGGCTTCGATGAGGCACTCCGGGAAAGAGCGCAGCGCAACATTGCACGATCTAGCAGGTAGGGCTGTCTGGAGTTGAAGCTTGTGCGCAAGGTTGGCTGCCGAGCGGTGACGTGTGGCAGGCGCGATGGCGGGTGCGATGGCTCTGGCTGGGCATGTCGCTGCAAGAGCTGGTATGCTTGCGATATAATGGAGCTTGTACAGAGTTGTGAGGCTGGCCACACGGCGCCGCAGGGACAGAGTGTCCATTGCAGCCCCTGTCCCAATCAGGGTGAGGGCACGATGCTGGACTCGGTCTAGCTGTGAGAGATGGGTAGCGGCAGCTCCCATCCATACAAGTGGGCAGTACTCCATTAGAGGCCGAATGAACCCCCGGTATGCTGTGGCCCGGCCGGGTGGGTCCAGGACATGGCACGCCTTCCGGAAGAAACCACTTCGCTGTGTGGCACGCACTGCAGTTCCTCGAAGATGCTCCGAGCATGGAAGATGAGCATCAAACGTCACTCCAAGGAGCTTCAGCCGCGAGCATTCTGGGACCGCTGTGCCGTTGAACTTGATGGGTGGTGTCTCCCAGGGTCTTTGGTGGCGGTGGCACAGTCATGGCCTGTGCTTTCGTTGGCTCAAAAGTGACGCGCCACTGAGCACCCCATTCAGCAAGTGCATCCACACCAGCTTGGAGGTTGCGGCACACTTCTGTCACAGCATGTGGCATTGGGATGTGGGCATAAAGCGTGGTGTCATCTGCGTAAACAGCCGGAGTGATCCCTTCCAGTAGGACGTCGCAGGCGTCATTCACATACAGCAAAAACAGTGTGGGCCCAAGGATGCTCCCTTGTGGGACCCCAGCATCAATCTTGTATGGTTCTGAAGATGCTCCGCCGACTACTGCCTGCAACTTACTGTCATACAGGTAGTCAGACAGCCAGTTGAGGAGGGGACCAGTGATGCCGTATGACGCAGCCTTGTGGAGCACGCCTCGGTGTGAAACTTTGTCGAATGCTCCTGCTATGTCTACAGCCAGCACGCGAACTGCGCCACCACGGTTGACTTCGGAGACCCAGGCGTGGTTGAGAGACGTGAGAAGTTCAGATGTGCTGAGCCCCTGCCGGAATCCGTACTGGTGGATGGACAGGGCCTTTACATGCTCAATTATGGCAGTGTTGACAATCTTCTCCATGACTTTGGAGACAACAGATAACAAGAACACAGGTCGGTAGTTCTTAACAGCAGAATGAGATTGATTCTTGTGTATCGGGTTTATGGGCTACTTTCCAGAGAGAGGGCTGGACATGGCACCGAAAACAGAGTGAGAACAGCTTGGCAAGTGGTGCAGCCAAAACCTTTGAGCACTGCTTCAGAAATCTGGCAGGAATGCCATCGGGTCCGGTAGCCTTGGTTGGATCCAGCTGGCGGAGCTGGCGCTGGACTGTCGCTTCCCGAAATCGGACAGTTGTCAGGGCAGATGTGCACCTAGGAGGAAGGTCAGGAAGGTCGGAGTGCTGTAGATCTTGATCACCCAAACTGCATTTGCTCGCAAAAGAATTCTCCAAAGCAAGTAGCCTTTTCCTGGTTGGTGACATATTCTCTGCCCTGGGTATTGCGTAGGACAAGGATAGACAAGCTGCGGCCAGAGCCTGCAGCTTGCTTCAGGAGTGACCACCATTGCTTGTTTCGCAGTGATCCATGTTTGAGCCGATCTTGGATGCGGGCAGATTCTGCCTGCTTTGCGAGACGAAGGCAATTGGCAGAGGCTCGGACTTTGGCATTGTAGTCAATGAGTTGCTGGTGGCAGGTGGGGTGTGTCTTGAGACGGTTCCATGCATTTTTCTTTGCCTGGGTAGCGGCTGAGCATTCCGGCGTCCACCAGGATGGATCTGTTGGTTTCGTCGAAAGTTCTTTGTGTGGGATGAAGCGATTCATGCCTTCCATGACAACAGCGGTTACTGATCTGCACGACGCCTCGGGGTCTTCTGATATATCCCAGTTTGCTGTTGAGTAGAAGTTCTGAAGCCGGCCCCAGTTTGCCTGAGCATACCTCCAAACGCCTCGTTTAGTCGGTGGTTCGCGGAGTGGGGTGGCATCAAAAGTGACCACAACGGTGGCATGGTCTGATGCTCCAATGGGGTCCAGTACATTTACTACCATTGAGGTCTCCGAGAAGTCCTTGAGTATGAGGTCCAGGGTGTTCTCACCACGTGTTGGTTGAGTAACGTGCTGGTGGAGCCCGTGAAACGCAGATAGTTCTTCCATGTATTCACCAGCTGGTGTAGTCTTCGTGCTGCATAGCCAGCTTTCATTATGAACAGTAAAATCCCAGGCTATCACAACGCTGTTCCCGAGGGATCGAGCTTGATCCATGACTGAGTCAGGATACTCAAGCAGAAAGACATCTTGTCCAATGCACGACCCGGGTCGGTACACTGCACATGCAAATACTTTCTGGCCATTGTCCAGGTGCAGGCGAAGCCAGATGACCTCATGGCCATGGCAGTTGATGTCACTCAGGTGGTCAAAGGAGAGGGAGTCCCGGATCCAGACTGCAACTCCGCCACCTTGAGCAGATCGGTCAAGTCGGAGGGGTGGGTGGAAGCCCGGCATGAAGGAGTCAGATAGTGAGGCTTTCTCCGGGGTGAATTTAGTCTCTGTTACGATGGCGATGTCAGATCTGCTCCGTGCAACAGCATGCTGGAAGGCTCCAAACTTTGACAGCAGCCCAAAAGAATTTGTCAGCAGGAGCTTCATTACTGGGTATGTCCTTGCGCAGCTGGTGTTCATTGGTGTTTGTGTGGCTGAATCGCTCCAGCTGAGGCAGCCTCTTCCTCACTGTCCCTATCGCCTCTGCTGCCCACGTTGCCGGCACCATATGCCCCAGATGAGCTGTCACCCTGCGGCCGTTTGTGGTGTCGCCAGGCTCGAGCGTAAAGCGGTCGTGGCCAGAGGTTCGCAGCAGTGACTGTTTCTAAGCCAGCGGCGTCGAGCGTCAATCGGGCGAAGACTGCTACTTTTTCACACATGCGGTATTCTCTTTGGTTCCACTTCACTGCACTCGAGCGGCCACCCGACACAACCTTTTTAGAAAACAACATATTTTTTCAAAAAATAGATTTTCACCCTAAGCCTCGTTTTTGCAGAAGTTTGGCCATATGACGATAGTGTAGATTTGATAATAATAAAAGAAAGACACAGCAAACTCTAAGAGCACCAAAGAAAAACTGTACCATGAACAAGAAAGCCACCAAGACAAGGCTACCTCTTGCCCAGAGGAACAGTCCCGAAAAGGTGCTAGGAAACCAGAAAAGGATACAAGAAAAGAAACAAGAGCAAATTTCCGTACTGCACCGTACGTGTATACGGTGTGTAAGAACCCCGCGCGGGATGAGTGGAAATGTTTGCAGAGAGGTCCGGGACACACATTGCCAAAAAGAGAAGTGTGAGGAGGTCAAAAGTACAAGTGCGATTCCAGTGCAAAACAGCATATCACAGAAAACTATCACAGTCAAGTCACGCTACACGTATGCATGCATACCACTACCAGATCCGCGGAGCTAGCGCTAGCAACAATCGCGCTTTATCACATGATCAATGATTACATAATAAAAAAATGGCGCCGCTGCGAATGCACACTTCGGCAGCTGGCACATGGCAAGAAAGAACGAAAGTAATTCAAAAACAGTTCGAACACAACGAAGAAATAAGTTTGAGAGAACAATAAATTTATCAAGTAGAACAATGTATGAATCTGCCAGGGGGTGCTTGCACCCAGCACTGGGTAACAGTAAGCGCTGACAGACAAAAGAGAAAGAACTAACGGAAGAAGAGAAATACTACAGCGCTGCGGAACGAAGATCAAACGGCAATTCAGTAAATCGTAACAATCAATTTCACTCAACCTGTCACAATCACTACGCTTGCCACTCAAATACTACTCTGACACTGCTCTGAGCACGCAGCGCGGACATGGTACATGGATTTATCACAGAAGTCTGCAGTTTCACAGCAGCAGTCAGCAGATATTGATATGCAGATTGCGTGGTGAACATTTGTCCACGATTAGAATGAACCCAAATGACCCACCAACCAATAAACTCGAGAAAAAGACTGCCAAACGGTTCAGTCAGGATTGTATCATGTGGCTTTTAAAAGGCCCTTGGTGTGCGATTTTTAAGATATCAAGAATTCTCGATTACTCAAAATTCGATCGGAGAAAATCAGAGTATTCAAACTCGGCATCTCAGTGCCAACTTTCACCCCTACTAGTAACAATCAGATCATCACAACAGTTGTAAAAGCGGAGGCGTGTACAAATACTACCAACCGATGCAGGCGTAGAACCTTTAACCAACTAACTTGGCATCAACCTTGCATCGTGGGCTGGGAAAGACAAAGTGTAGGCCATCAGTTCCAGGCAAGCATGTTCTACTGACCGGCAATTTCTTGCCCGGCAGTGAGACATGTATTGGGGTTTTCCACCTTAACCTGGCAAACAGTTTGTCAATTGACTTATCAGAGTAGTGTGTATGTACATGAGAATAACTCACTTCATAGTGAGTTGGGCACTACATTTGTGGAGTACGAAAAGGACGACGGCATATTCTCCAGAGACAACGATGGACAACAGGAACAGTTAGATGGGACAACATTTATTTGGGAGACGAAGAGGCAGAGACCAAGACGAACAAAACGACTACATTGTGGCAGAGAGAGACAAGAGCTAGAGATCAAGTGTGAAGATAAATGGCCTGGGTAGCTATGGCAAATAGGGGCGCGCAAGTAGCTACCCAGGCCAACAGAACAAAAAGTGACAAAAGGAGAAAAAAGGTGAGTACGACGTAGTATGGGGTGCATGCAGGCCTGCCTGGAAAAGTTTGGAAGGAAGGAGGTACCTAACGTACCTCCCCTGCGCGAAGAAAAGAACCGCGACCTCGCAGGAAATAATAAGACGACGAGAAAAATAGAAAAAAATGGCTGAGGAAGTAGAGAAAAAAAGCACACACACACACACACACACACACACACACACAGCACACACACACACACACACACACACACAACGCACGGGTGTCACAAAAGTGTTATACAAATTATGCACTACAGCTATGATGTTCCTGTACTCTAAAGTATTTACACATCACTCATGGTAGCGTAGACATTGCCAACGACGGCCCAAACACCCCTTCACAAAAAAATTTGCACACCTAAAAAACTAAAAGCAAGGAACATGGCCTTCTTATTTGCATAGCTATACAGCATAGTTACTCTTCTGCCAATTAATGCGACATGAATAAAAGAGCGTGGCTCACCATCGGACGCCTAATATTGACGAAGGAAACCCGCGTGCACACACACTACAAAAATTACAAAATAAAATAAACCGAAAATAAATTTGACGACGAAGGACAGATGAAAAAGAAAGAGAGAAATAAAGAAAATAGGTGACCTGCATGACTTGGACGAGACGAGATCGACATTGAAGAAACGAGGTTGATATAAAAGAGACGAGGTTGACAGGGACGAGATGAGGTTGACATTGACGAGACGAGGTTGGGGACGAGACGAGGATTACTGAGGACGAGACGTATGGCAGTTGGGGACGACGTGCATGGGATCTCATGCTTGCAGCGCTTATCCAGACAGAGTAAATGTTCTACGGGACAAGACTCCCAAGTATATCTCTGTGTAAAACACCTTTAGAATTTTTTTAGAGAACGCAGCACAACATATAATGAACGTAATTGTAGAGCATGAGAAGTTGAGAACACAATATTATTATTGCCAATTGGTCTGGTCATACATGGCAACATTTCCTTCAGAGATATGGGAAAGGGATACTTGATGTTGGCCGCACCACGTCAAAGTGATGAAGCCAAGGACAGACATATGCGCACTGTGTGACAAGCTGGGGGACAAAATTCGTGTCGCCCGTACAAAGGAAGACACGGAATGTAGACTGTAGTGTCCAGGCCCTGCGTTTGCACATATCACTTGCACAAGAGGAGCGGCAGTACTACCGAGATATAGTGGACGGCGCGAAGGCGTCACTGGATGAAGCTGAGGGCAAAGTTCACTATACATTTGACTTTGCCCAGCAACTTAAACTGCCATTTCATACTCGCCGTGTACCTAAATTTGCTCTATATCGCTCAATTGACATGCCACTATTAAATAGGTGGTTACGCACATTTTGCCATCGCAGATCAACTTGAAATTTTGTTTGAGCACATTACCATACCATACCAACATTTTGAGAGAAAACATTTTCCGCCAAAAGTGCCATAGGGTGGTTTCTGTAGTCCCTGGCTCATGAATTGGGGTTTTCCACCTTAACTCGGCAAACAGTTTGTCAATTGACTTATCGGTGTACTGTTTTACTCAGAAGTAGCGACAAACTCGGCCATTTGAAAATAATCTTAACTGTCCACCTCTCCACACTGCGCTCTTTGTTATCTACCTCTGCTGGGGAACTCTTACTGAACGAAACAGCTGTCTGGAGGATATGGAACATCTACTCAAGAACGAACTTCCTCGCTATGGAGTGGTGTTGTGACTGTGGGCCAAGAGTGCAGTGTGGAGAGGTTGACTGGGTAGCTTTGGCAAATATGGGCGCGCAAGTAGCTACCCAGGCCAATGGACCAAAAGGTGACAAAAGGTGAATACGACATAGTATGGGGTGCATGCAGGCCAGCTTGGAAAAGGTTGTACGGGAGGAGGAACCTAACACATTTTATCCACAATAGATACTTTTCTGATGGATAACGCATAGGAATGTCTCGTCATGTGTGTTACCTGAATGTTGTGCATGAGATTGCCTCACTTCGTAGTAGATTGCGCATTACATCCAATAAAAGTAGTTTTCTGATGGATAACGCATAGGAATGTCTGGTCATGTGTGTAACCTGTACACAGAACGGTAGCCTTCCTGTTCATAGCGCTGCCGAGAATGGACATCTGGAAGTAGTCAAGTATCTACTAAATCTCCAACCCGACACGATCTCTGCAAAGAACGATGTAAGTTGAGCAATCTCTATTCTTGATTCTTCTTTAGCATTTTTTTACTAGAACTCCAACCCGATACGCTCTCTGTGAAGGTCAAGGTAAGTTAAGCAATCTTTTCTTCTTCATTGACTCTACTTGCTGTAGTCGGTTAGGCCGTTATCACACTGCGTTTGTTTGAGTCGCGTTTGCGTCTGCGTTTGAGATTGGAAAACGCAAGACATGATATCATACTATACTTGTGATTTTCAGCGCGTTTGCGTCAAAATCTGTGCGCTCGGGAAAATACAAAAATGTGGGGAATCGATCTCAAGGTGGCCGTGGATGTTAAATTTATTTTCCCGAGATCGAGAAGTGTTCTGTTTCTGCTCCTATGTCCTTTGTCAGTGGTGCTGGGGAATGGGAGTCGATGGGAAGACTGCAGCCGTTGCGTTGCCTGTGTTGGGGTGGCAGCTCCGTTGTTGAGGCACATCGTCAAGCTAGGCTAGTCGCCGTCAACAACCTCAGCCAGACAGCCACGAGCTCGCATCAGCTCCATGCCTCGCGAATCCAAAATCAATCAATCAGTACATGTAGTAGAAGTACCCTCGCCTGCCTCAGCAACTAGATGGAAATGAAGATTTGAAAAGCACACTTAAGAATCACTTGAAAACACTCAAAAACAATGCAGGAAGTGCTGCGATAAAGAAAGTCCGATCTGCGTTTGCGGGAATCGGTTTCGACCACCCCCCTCCCCCCTCCCCCCCAGGTTTGCGTCTGCGTCTGCGGCTGTGCGTCTGCGTCTGCGGCTGTGCGTCTGCGTCTGCGGCTGTGCGTCTGGGCTCGCGATAACGTCACGTGATGGCATTTCCTAGGCGACCGTCAAAAACCGAAGAAAACGCAGACGCAAACGCGACTTTTGAGCGCAGTGTGATAAGGGCCTTACTCCTACAGCACTCTTCTTGCCAATGAGGACCACTGTGCTAGCTATATGTCATTTGCTGGGGAGCATCAGGCTGAAACAGCTACCAAACCGATTATATGTTGCAAAGGTACCTGTCAATAATGGTGACTCTGCTGCCCGGCAGTGATAGCTGCAAAAAGCACCTCCATTATGCATCCGGTTCACATAACCATTGGTCTCAATCATCATCAACTCAACACATGTGAAAAGGAATTTGTTTGGTGTGTGCAGAGATGTCCATAAATTGATTCAAAAGAGTTCTTAGTATTGTATACTTGCGCCCATCATATGCCCCTCAACCCACAAGAGGAACATTGCAACATTACTTTGGCTCAAAAAGAATACAAACTAACCAATCTCGTACCCAGACCTGAAGCAAGTATTTGGGGTTTCCAGCTTTAGCTTGTTAACAGTTTGTCAATTGACTTATCACTATGTTGTGCGTGAGACTGCCTCACTTCGTAGTGGATTGTGCATTATACCCAATATAAGTACTTTACCGATGGATAACGCATAGGAATGTCTGGTCATGTGTGTTACCTGTACACAGTACGGTAACCTTCCTGTTCATCGCGCTGCCTTTAAAGGGCATCTGGAACTCGTCAAGTATCTACTAGATCTCCAACCCGACACGATCTCTGCAAAGAACAATGTAAGTCGGGCAATCTCTATCCTTGATTCTCCTTGAGCATTTTTTTTCAGAACACGGTTTGAGCAATATATTCGATCGCACCAAGTAGCATCTAGTCACTCGCGCCAGGCCGGAGCAACAGAACTTAACCTCACGGATTCCACCATCGGCCAGTAGAGCAGACCATGGCACACCATTCACTCTTGGGTCCATGCAATGGCCCTCCCTACATACTAAAGTGATGTAAATATATTTCCTGTTCTACGTGTGTTGGGGGGGGGGGGGGGGGGAGGGGGGGAGGGCGTGTGTGGGTGCGTGCGTGCATGTGTGCAAACAGCAAGTGTAGTCAACTCTCTTGGCCGTTCTATGCTGATGTACTCCGTGTTTTGTAGACCACGTGTGCATTGGTGTTCGATTCTCATGGCTTCACAGGTTGTGTTGATTCGGCAGTTATGAATTTCTAGTCTTGATCAGTATCATTCAGATCTTGTCCGCTGTCGTTGCTATAAGTGAAAATCTGTGGGTGCACCTCCAGTACATTTCGCAGATTTGCGTGCTTCTCTTGTGAGGGTCGTATACTGCAAAACGGGTAATGTTTGCGACAATAAATGTTTGCGTTTTACAAATTGAGACTGGCATGCGCTGTTTAATGGTTGCAAATTGTTCTACAGTCGTTCTACAAAGTCGAGTCAGTCCTTGCACTGAACTTTACATGCAGTTTGCACTGTTCAAAGTTTGCGATTCGGGGCTTCTTGCAAAATTCGCAAACATTTTTACGTCGCAATAGTTACCCGTTTTACAGTACATGGTACACGGTGTGTATGCGTGTACATGTGTGTGTGTTTGTGTGTGTGTGTGTGTGTGTTAGGGGTGGAGTGGTTGTATGTGCATGTTTGTATGTACATGTATATATTAGGGCTGAAACGATTATATCGGTTATCCGTCTAATTGATCATAAAGCGGGATTCACAGAAGCATTTTTGCGATGCGACACACGATGTGACGGCCGCGAAACCGGGAAATCCCCTAATCGCAGTCATCTCGCAGCCCACGCAATTGCCGCAACTGGGCCATCGCAGAAGTTGAACTCGGCTCAACTTTTGCGATGCGACAAACGATTTGGTGTACGATTTTGACGTTTTCTACAGCAAAGTTGTACAAAGGTTCAAGAGTTGCCCGTAAATTTGTACAAGTGGTACCAAACCCCACGAATACCATGGTGACGTACCCACCTGCATTGAACTTCGCGCCAAATCAGCAAGGTATCATCTCATCGCATACATCTTCTGTGAATGGTAATTCTCGAGTTTGCATCGCATGCCTCCATCGCAGATCGCGTCGCATCACCCATCGCATCGCAAAAAAGCTTCTGTGAATCCCGCTTTACAACAAAGCGACTTCGATTATGCTGTCTATTTCGATTTCGGATTCTAAAAAAATGATAATACTTGTAATATAAAAAATAAAAAACGTGTACAAGAAGATGTCATGCACATGACTGTACTACGTAGTAGTAGGATCCGATAATGTTACGTACATAAGTCACCGGAGGATGTACCCAGTGTGCTGACAGTGCTCAACACCACGAAGGCAGAGCATAATACAAAACAACAAGGACAATCAAGGCTTGTTTGCTGCTACTTGAAGTTTCATGCTCCCACAATCATCAGGAAACATGATTGCGAGAACATGAAACTTGAAGTAGCAGCAAACATGCCTTGATTGTTCTTGTTGTTTCAAACATAAGTCATTGTAGAGGCCGAATACCTTGGTTTTTTGATAGATGACCATCTCACCTTCCAGCCACAGATTCAGAAATTGTGTAACTCATTGTTTGCTAAAGTTGCTGCATGCCGACATGGCCGTAGAAATATAACAAATGATGCAAAGCGAACATTCTACTTGTCTATTATTCAGTCTACCCTAGACTACTGTATTATCTCTAATAATAAGCACGGTCCTTTATTTGTTCAATGTACCTCCGCTATTAATGGAGACGTTCCTTTATTGGAGACTGTTCCATTATTATTTCAACCTCAGTTCAAAGGTGTGGTGTTTGTAACCACAGACATTGTGAATCACCTGAGGGGCAGACTATTATTGGTAATGCTAGCTAGACCTTATGGAAGTGTCGAATGACCGCACTTGGCATTCATCCATTCATGCATGCTAGCTATCTCGTGTGTTTGGACTACCTCCATTATCTTCCTTTTATATTGCTCTACTCTGTAATATTCAACCAGTTGCGTACTGGACAAGTGAACTCCGGTTGTGCTTTGTTTTGGGTTTTGTGAGTCACGGACTAAAACACTACAGTGGGGACGAAGATTTTGTTTTTTCTAGTGTGCTCCGAGCATTACTAGTATTAGCTCCGGCTATGGCGACTCATGAACACATTGCTCACGGTCATCGGAGGTCCAGCATTTGAACTGCTGCAAGATTTGCTGGCCCCGGACGCCCCAACTGACAAGACGTTTGCGGAACTCTGCGCGGCTCTAAAAGGACATCTCGCACCGAAACCACTTGTCATTGGAGAACGATACCGATTCTACCAGAGAGACCAACGTCCAGGAGAATCAATCGCCGCCTATGTGGCTGAACTTCGCCGTTTGGCAAGGACCTCCGAGTTCAATGCCCATCTTGCAGAAGCTCTGCGAGATCGCTTCGTCTGCGGACTGAGGAGTGCAGGTACGCGGAGGAAACTCCTGGCCACGGACGCACTGACTTTCGACAACGCCGTTAAGGACGCGCTGTCTGATGAGCTGGCCACCAGGGACGCTCTGGAAGTCTCCGCTGCGGATACGAAGAACGCTAGCGGTGGTGTCCACAAACTTCGCACCCCATCGAGAAAGCCTGTGCCTGGTGCACGATCTACGTGTTTTCGCTGTGGTGGCGTTGGACACAAGGCGCCTGACTGCCGCTACAAGGACGAAGTTTGCAATGCGTGTGGTAAGAAAGGCCACTTGCAGTGGGTTTGCCGAAGCAAGCCAGCTGAGCAGCCAGGAGCGCGACCAACTCCGCGACCCAGATCATTCAAGCGCAAAGGTTCAGCGATGACAGGTCACAACTATTAAATTTTGTTTGCCAGCGACGAGGACGACCAGTCCAGCATTCGCTATGTGCATGTCTCCAAGATCCAGTCGAGCGGAAAGCCACCAGCACCACTCACGATAACCGCACAGATCGCGGGACAGGAGTTATCTATGGAAGTAGACACGGGCGCTGGTGTCTCTGTTTTACCAGCCGCAACATACGTGCACTTGTTCTCCGAACACCCGCTTCGCCCAGCAAAACTGGTGCTGCAAGCCTACAACTGTGAATCGCTTCGATCGCAAGGCGTGCTGCGCTTGCCTGTCACCATCAACGTTCAGCAAGCGGAGGCTGAGCTGTACGTGGTCGACTGCGAGGGCCCAGCATTGCTAGGACGCACATGGCTCCAGCAATTTCGCCTCAACTGGACGGAGTTGGCGGCTATCAGGAATGTGAAATCCTCACTCCAGGAGTTACAACGTGAATTTGCAGCAGTATTCAATGATGAACAAGGATTGTTCAAGGGGGCGAAAGCCAAGCTCACGCTGAAGTCTGATGCGACTCCAAAGTTTGTCAAGGCACGATCGGTGCCAATGGCGCTGAAACCCAAGGTTGAAGCAGAGATATGTCGCATGGAGGCTGCTGGCATCGTCACTCCGGTGGATTGGAGCGAATGGGCAACACCTGTGGTACCTGTTCTGAAGCCAAACGGCCAGGTCAGGCTATGTGGAGACTTCAAGGTGACGGTGAACCCCCAGCTCCACATCGACCAACACCCGTTGCCGCTCATCGAGGAGATCTTTGCCTCACTCTCCGGAGGGCAAGAGTTTACAAAACTCGATCTGAAGGCAGCGTACACGCAGATGGAGGTGGACGACGAGTCAAAGCCCCTGCTTACGCTCAACAGCCATCTGGGTCTGTTTCGACTCAACCGTCTCCCATACGGGATCGCGTCTGCTCCAGCGCTATGGCAACGAGCCATGGATTCTCTGCTACGAGACCTGCCAGGTGTTAAGTGCATGATCGATGACATCATCGTCACTGGCCGCACACCGGAGGAACACCCCAACACGCTGATGAAGGTGCTCCAACGTCTCGCTGATGCGGGCCTCAAGCTCAACCTGGCCAAGTGCCACTTCTTTCAGCCGAAAGTGGAATATTGCGGCCACGCCATCAGTGCACAGGGCCTGCACACGATGCCGAGCAAGGTTGATGCAATTTGTGATGCTCCACCGCCGGAAAACGTGCCGCAAGTACGCAGTTTTCTGGGGCTCATCACCTACTATCAACGCTTCATTCCGAAGATTTCAACTATCCTGAGTCCACTAACAGCGCTGCTGCAAAAAGGAGCGGCGTTCGAATGGACAGATGAGTGCCGACAAGCCTTCCAAGAGGTCAAGCAGGTGCTGTCATCCCAACAGGTGCTCACACACTATGACCCGACACTGCCCGTTCGTCTCGCAAGTGATGCGTCACCATACGGGGTTGGAGCAGTCTTGTCGCACATCCTGCCATCTGGAGAAGAGCGACCGATCGCATATGCCTCTCGAAAGCTCTCGAAAGCGGAACAGGCATATTCGCAGATCGACCGTGAAGCGCTCGCAATAGTGTGGAGTGTGAAACGCTTCCACAACTACCTGTACGGCCGGCATTTGGAGCTGCTCACGGACCACCAGCCGTTGGTATCAATCTTCCACCCGAGGAAAGGCCTGCCTGCTATGACCGTAGCACGTCTTCACTATGCGATGTTCCTGGCCGGACATGACTACACGATCATGTACCGCCAAACAGACAAGCATTGCAACGTCGACGCATTGTCACGCCTGCCGGTAGGAAATCCTCCAGTACCAGATATGGCAGAGGAAGCGGTCAACATGTTCTACATGGACCAATGCGAACCACTCCCAGTAACGGAGGAGCAGATCAAGGAGGCAACAGCCAGCGATAAGCTATTGCGTGAGGTCCATCGCTATGTGCAACAAGGTTGGCCGAAGTCGTGCCCAAGAGCAGCGCTACAGCAGTACTTTCAACGTCGCAACAAGCTCAGCATTAGCAACGAGTGCTTGCTATGGGGCAATCGCGTCATCATTCCGCCGGACCACCGGAAAGCTGTCCTGACAGAGCTTCATGAAGGCCATCCAGGAATGGTACGAATGAAGGCATTGGCGAGAAGCATCCTCTGGTGGCCGGGCTTGGACGGCGACATAGCAGACGCAGTCAAAGCATGCCTCGGATGCCAAAGTGTCCAGAGCGAACCTGCTGCAGCACCAGTGCACCGATGGAGCATGCCAGACCGCGTGGCAGCGCGTCCACGTAGATTACCCTGGTCCATTACGGCAAACGATGTGGCTCGTCATTGTCGATGCCTATTCAAAATGGCCCGAAGTCATTCCGATGCCTTCCACAACGTCTTTGGCTACCATCGCGAGTCTCAGGACAGTATTCGCCAGATATGGTTGCCCAGACCTCATCGTCAGCGACAATGATCCACAATTTGCATCTGCAGAGTTTGCCGAGTTCCTCGCCTCGAACGGCATCGCTCACAGACGCTCAGCGCCGTATCATCCAGCGACGAACGGCCAAGCTAAAAGGTTCGTCCAGACCTTTAAACGGGCAATCCAGGCAGTACCACTGTCAATGCCTGCACAGATTGCTGCTGACCGGTTCTGCTGACAGGTTCTTGTTGAGCATTCTCTGCAGTTTTCTTCGCAAGCCCTATTCAAAAATGGAAAATAATGAGTTCTTTGGAGGAAATGAATTGAGTAGACGAGGAAAAATACCGACCCTCTACAGAGGAGGTCATACTCCGAGACAAATTATGGACATAACCGGTTACAAGAAGACTCAGGTAAGTGAAACAGATCATCAATAATGTGATAAATTCGAGAACAAGTCACAAAACAATCTTCGATTTTATTGTCCATGTTCAGGTAAAGGACACATGCCATCGAGTTGAAATTGGGAGAAGCGTAGCAAGACAGGCAGGCAGCGGAACAATGCAGAGACTCTCACCTGTGGGCATGGAGTTTGTTGCTGATCACATCGCTGCCAATCATTTCGCGAGCAGTGAGAAGATTTCTGAGGTTCTGGACACGGAGCAACCTGGTGGGGAAATGGCAGCCTTCCAGCACAGTACACAGAAACCTCAGACGGAATAATTACAGGTTCGGGCGGCCGGTGCGTAAGTTTGTTCTGAAAGAAGCAGCAAATAACAGCCAGCTAGTATGGGGAATTGAGCATCGCCAGTTTGACTTTGACCGCGTCGTCTTTGCAGACTAGGCATGCTTTGCCTCCTTGGGTCCTGGCGGGCGTGTTATGTCCTGGTACCCGCGGGACGACAAGCCAATAATTGAGGTGCCACACTATCCAGCAAAGGTACACGTTATCGGGGCCATTTCACTTTTCGGAACCGTTCGGCATTTGTCCTTTGCTTTGACGTGGAGTGCAGCAACGTTCGCCCAAGGAATGGCAGCCGACATTGTACCGAGTGGCATCGGATTCTTTGCAAACGAGTGGTCTTTGCAGCTCGACAATGCTACCTCCCACACGCCAGCTCAAGCACGGTAGGATCTTCTCGATAGCGGAGTACCCAACATCCTGTTTCAACCTCCCTGCTCGCCGGACATGAATCCAATTGAGAATTTGTGGGCTCTTCTCAAGAAGAGAATAATTCCACATCGTTGCGAGACTGTTGACCAGCTGGTTCAGGCACTGCACCTGGAGTGTGACTCGTTTGCTCCTGACACGGTCTCCCCATGCGTGGAGTCAATACCACGTCGTGTTGAAGCCCTAATCGAAGCAAACGATGGCCACGCAAAATATTGAAGCCCTGCTGCTCTGTGTATGAAATAAACTGCTTTAAAATTATCTCTGTCTTCTTTACTTGTCCTGAACTGAAATGAATGTTACCAAGAGTATATAACCCCCCCCCCCCCCCCCCCCCCAAGAGTGTGCAACTCCTGATACCTTTTCTATGGGGTACGCTGACGGCGAAAACTCACATCACATGGTGCAGTGTCTCAGTTGTACGATTCCAGCCCGTTTTTAGCGAGCAGCGGAGTAATAAAAAAGCACTCTCTGACAGAAACTCACTGCGCGTATTCAAATCCCCAGCATGATCATGGCAGATATTCGGATTGCGCGCACGCTATCCTTCGTTTGTATGTAGTGCGAAGATATCTGAGGCACGTGATGTGATGTTTCGCCGTCGCAGACCCCATATGCAGAGTTGCACACTCTTGGGGGGTTATATACTCTTGATGTTACTCTTCTCTTTATTTGGCGCGGTTTTTTAACACTTTGGTGCTAGCATGCATGTGTAACAAGTTATGGACAAACTCCATCAAGTTAACTTTGCCTCACCTTAGACGAGTTCCTGGGGTGGGGGGGGGGGGGGGTGTCATAATCTTCCAGTTAATCATGCGGCTTGCAGCGTTTATCCAGACATAGCAATTTTTCTACGTGACAAGACTCCCAAGTATATCTGTGTAAAACACGGTTAGATTTTTTTTAGAAAACACAGCACAACATAATGAACGTAATTTTAGAGCATGAGAACACAATAAAAGTATTGCCAATTGGTCTGGTCATAGATGGCAACATTGCCTTCAGAGATATGGGAAAGGGATACTTGATGTTGGCCGCACCTCGTCCAGCCATTCCACGATATGACAATTGTCGATTCCAGTAGAGTACTGGTGCTCGTGATATCCGTTTGTTGGTTTTGTTGTTGCTGCTATGGATGCTATGGCTGTGTAGGTTGGGAGAACTCCTCTCGGTCAAGCAGTGTGCGCTGGGGAAGCAGGCTGTGTACCCTACTTGCTGGACGTCACCTGGGCTATGCTTCCATACGATGAGGTAAGATTTGTGAAAAGTATGTTGTGTTATGAATAGGTCTACCCGTTTTGTCTGAGAAGATATGTTGGGTTACTGTGAAAACCTTTGCTCTGGAACCACTCCTCCCCCCCCCCCCCGCCTCACCTGCATAAGTTATTATCAGAATGGTATGATGGTTATTCCTGAAACATGTAGCTGTACATGAGGTTGGATAACATGGACGATCTCCGTGTAAGCCGGTTTACATATGATGAAATAGTACTTTAGTAACTGGTGGTGTTGGTGGACATTATAGTGTAACTTGTAGTTCCTTGGTCCTTTTTATTCTCTATGAAGTCTCCACGTCGATTATTTGAAGAGTACTTTCTGCAGATTAAATGTGTAAGAGAAAACTAACATGCGTTCTTCTCTAGTCTATTTCTTCACTGTCTACTTCAAGGTGTATTGGGTGTCATCATCGTGTACAGTGCATCTCTTTTTACCATTCACTTTAATCTACTTCTAACATGTGAAGTATTTAGTGTTGTCTGAAAGGTCTATCATGTCTTACTGTGCACCGCTGCTATATACGGTGTAACAAGTAAAGTGGTCGGTGCTTTTCTGTGTGTTTTTTGTTTTGTTATGCAATGGTTATTGTGACCAGTGAAATTGATGACAGTGAAGAGTGTATTGCTATACAAGTAATGATTCTGTGTTTCCAATCCAGGCCAATGAGATCGTGGAGGAAGTCAGGAGAATAGCTGAAAAAAAGGAAAGCATGCCAATTTTGGACTTGATTAAGGTTAGAAATGTCATTCCTTAGGATTTCTAACTACAGTAAAACCTGGTTTAAGCGACCACCCAACGGTGCAAGCAAAAGCGGTCGTTAAAGCCAGGTGGTCTTTAGAACTAGGTCCCACAGTGTCTGTGTAGAGCTGTTGGTGCATGGAAAAACGGTCGTTAAGAGCAGGTGGTCGCTTAACCCAGAGATCGCTTACACCATGTTTTACTATATTTGCTCATGGTTGAGAGGAAAGACAGATTGGTACAAGTTGTGTGTAACGAGCCAACCGATGTAACCAGATCAAAAAGGATTCCATTAGAAGATGTACAAAGCACAAAACTAACAGGATAGTGAGACATTCAATGCCCTGACACCTAGATCTGACACATCTCCAAAGCGAAAAACGAACAACGTTCCAAGGTAGAAAGCACAGGTAAGGGAAGTCCAATGAGGAGAAGGAGAAGGGAAGCGCAAACAGGATGATAATAAGTAATAGTTACATCTCATTTGCAGATTTGTGTGCTTCTCTTGTGACAGGCATATACATGTTACGTGGTGTGTATCAGTGTGCTTGTGCGCGCGTGTGTGTGTGTGTATGTGTGTGTTTACTAAGTCCACTATGCCCCCGAATGAATGCGGAAAGTGGTGGCGGGGCCCTGCTGCTCAGCCGACCTTGGTGGTCGCGGCGTCTGCACAGACAAAGCGGGCCAAGAAAAATAGAGAAGGACATAAGAGAGAGAGAGAGAGAAAACAAGACGAGAGCAAGGCATGTATACGGAAGTGCAGCGCCCATTATTAGCGCCCACACATCCACTGCAGAGGGATAAAGATATAAAAAGATATGTTGGATAGTGAAATTTGGTCAATCAGAACTTAAGCTAAGGAAGTCAAAGAGCGTCAGTTGCTCTCTGCCAGTAAAGGCGCAGCAGGTACTTATGGAATATTTCCTTGAAGGACTGCAGCTGTTGTGGGTGCGGTGCAGATCGCAAGACATGTCCTGGCAGGCTGTCCCACCTTGGGAAGGCGAAATCAAGGAACCCATTGCGGAGGCTGCTTCGGGAGTGTTGATTTTAGCTGGTTCTGGTGTTGCTGAGCGATCTGAGTAGCCAGCCTGGTCGATGGTCAGCACGGAGGGCGTGGGTCGGCTGGGGCTGGTAGAATGGCCTTAAAAGGATTTGTCGGGGACAGATAGGTTAGCTTGAGGAGGAGCGACAGGGATGCAACCATTCTGCGGTGCTCCAGGCTGGGAAGCCAAACTCCCGGGCCGATGATCTTTAGCGCCCTGTGCTGCATCTTGTCCAGGCGGGAGGTACTGGAGCCCATCCACACCAAGGAGCAGTACTCCATGAGAGGGCGGACAAACCCCTTGTACACAGTGGTGAGACCTCTGGTGTCTAGGGGGGGGGGGGGCAACCTTGGCAAGGAAGTGGAGCTGCTGAGCAGCTTTGGTTGCAATGGAGTGGAGGTGCGTTGAGAAGGACAGCTGGGTGTCAAAGGTGACACCAAGCAGCGTAATTTCCCGCTCCTCCGCGATGGCAGCTCCTGCAAACAGTACTGGTGGCATGGCTGGGGGTGGCTTACGGTGGTCAATGGTCATCGCCTGAGACTTGGATGGCTCAAATGTCACTCTCCAGTCTGCGCCCCACTCAGCGACGCTGGCCATGGCGGCTTGGAGCTGCACTATGGAGTCGGCAATGTCGGATATGGCAGACAGGCACTGGTAGAGCGTCGTATCATCCGCATAGGTGGCAAGTTCGGAGCCCGCAGGTACTAGTAAATGGTCCTCACAGTCGTTCACGTAGAGGAGAAACAATGCGGGACCGAGAATGCTGCCCTGCGGGACACCAGGCGGCACAGGTTGAGCTGAAGACTGCTGGCCACTTACAACCGCCTGGAGGCGACGGTCGCCAAGGTAGCTGGACAGCCAGCCATGGAGGGGACCATGTAGCCCTGAAACAGAAGCCTTGTGCAGCAGACCGGGGTGACCGATTTAGTCAAAGCACCGGCGATGTCGATGGCAAGTACACGGACAGCTCCTCCAAGGCCGGCTGTTTTCGACCATTCGTTGTGGAGCTTAGTGAGGATGTCGGCAGTACAGAGACCCTTGCAAAACCCGAACTGCCTGGACGAGAGGACATGGTGCTTCTCAAGGGAGTT